CAGGAAGAAAGCACAGAGGGGTGGTGTGGGTGTGGAGGATTGAGACCAGAAACAGTTACAGCCGCTAACAGGTGAGTCATACACACACGCACAACACACATCAACACACACCACACACACACACACACACAGCATACACACCTCTGTCCACTAGTCTGTTCCCCTTCCACCACTCCCTGCAGTAAAGAAAAATGAGCATAAGGCTCCATTCTTAAGGTTTAAATGCATTACAGTCGCCGTGTTGCTTAGAAAAAAACACTGCAGGTAAAAAAAAGGGGGGGGTACACTTTCTCTCCCTCCACACTGTACTTAATAGATTGCTGAAACGACTGGCTGCGCAACCAGGCAGTATCCTTTTTCACATCTTTTGCCAAGGACAATCCTACCCTCAACCAAAGGCCAATTTGGGCTGGAGGAAAAAAAAAAAAAAAGAGCAGGCGAAGCCCAGGTGCAGACAGGAGAGGGCGAAAGCAGAGCTCAATCATCTCCTCGCGTTCTAAACAGCGCCGTTTTTTGGTTGATGCCAGACCCCCGACGAGAGCCGCGTCTTTTTGGACAGGGACATGAATGTAGACACCACTCACAAAACTTCACCACAAAAAAAAAAAGTCATAAAAAACACAGAGAGAAGATGGAGTCAGCATCCCCCTCTCCTCCTCCTTCTCCTCCTACTCCTCCTTCCTATCCCCTATGAGAAGCAGACAAGTGATTTGTCATGCCTTTTCATTACCAGGGGAAGGTCATGTCAGTCCTATTCTGGCCTGGGGGTGGCAGGCTGCCTGGGCCGGGGCAGGAAAGAACAGGCAGGGGAGGGACACACACACACACACACACACACACACACAAACAAACACACACTGACAGGTACAATGGCGGACCCCGACACACAAGCAGCTATTCATGCATGCATGTAGACGTGTACACATACACCTGTCCGCACCTTCCTTCCCCTTCACAGTGCGATGACCCAGATGGCACCCTAGTAACAGCTGTAACCAGAGAAAGAGAGACTGCGTGTACCGCGGACTCTGGATTATGCAAGGCTGCTGACATCCGGCTTTGTGTCTTTTTTTGTGTAGTAAACCAGCCGTAGAAGGCGACAATACACTGGAAACGGATAAGAGCTCAATCCAACGCAGCCTGAAGACCGGGTCGGTTAATTTCAGTTTGGATTCGAATAACGCACACTGATGACTGAGATTAAAAAAAAATAAACTTCCCAGGCATCCGCTACAAGGAGACCTAAACAGTTGAACTCAGTTTTACCTGGTTGTAATGAATTTTTCATGAGATTCCGTTCTTTTTTTTTTTTTTTGCTTCTACATCTACTATATTTCTTGTCGCCTGTTGCAGATAAGATAGCGTTATCATCCTGTTCTACTATCATCTTGTCCCTGTGCCTTTGATACTTGCTCCCTCTCTGTAAAATCCCCTCGTATCACTCCCAGCCGATCAAACACAGAACAGCGCTCCATTCCATTAGAATTGCTAATGCTAAGGCACTAAACTGTGGAGCACAATGAAATGCAGAAAGAGAAAGAGAACGAGAACGAGAGTGGGTGTGTAAAATGGCAAAAAAAAAAAAAAAGGGAAAAGAAATACATAAAAATTGGTCCAAGAAAAAAAAATCCAAGCATTCTTGTCCCTTTTCCTTTCCACTATTAGAGTTGGTAATTGAACCATTTCCGACAGGCATATGGCGCCTTGCTTTTTCAACTCGAAAACTTTAAAGTGCACCACAGCAGTTTCACTGAAATGCAAAAGAGTGAATAACATTAGGAGAGTAGAGGTGGAATGCAATAGAAAGTAGATACATTGTCTTAGTGTATAGCTTCTGGAGATTAAAACATCTGTCTTAGGTTTTACTTAAAAATGTGAATCCTTCGGGGGCTGCATGTTGCTTCTTATTGTCTATCGCAGCATGATCAAGGCCATCCTTCTTCCTACACCACATCCCTCGCTTTCTTTTAAACGCAACACATTTGATGATTATTACTTTCAATTACAGCAAACAAGGCTGTTGGGATGTATTTCTGAAACATTTCCAGCTAAATGATAAAAGCAGATGTGAAATCTATTAAAATAATACAGTTACTGTAGTTCACTGCCAGGTCTCCCGTTAACTGAGGCAAAGCAATAAACAAATAGGTGAATAAACCTCAACGGGACAGGAAACTGTGTTCCTTAATTATTCCCCCGGACCCGCAGGGTATTTGAAAGCAACCCGAGCATGACTCAGCAAATTGACTGTGCTGATTGGATATTCATCATGAATGCAGTGATACAGCCAAGAAGCAAACGCAGCCAGCCATCGTGGTCCAAACTCCTGATTCCCTACTTGCGCCATATCATTTTTTGCTAATATTATCACTATTACAGGAAAATAAATTGATGCCTCTACAAACTGGAAACATATTTTGAGGTGTTCATTCAAGTTGTAATTCCTTGAAGAGATGTGCAAGAACCTTTGGCTATTTCAAACAGCTAACCTGCAGCTATGACCACTGTATACTAAACATGTGTCTTAAGACTAAGGGTGTGACGCACAGCTATCTATATCTGCTTATTTCACAATATATTGGTTTAATTGAGTATGGATTTGTGCTGGAAATCCTCTATACTCTAAAAAAAATTTTAACTCTTTTTTTTCCCTAATGTAATTTATTTCTTCATAGGGATTTCTACAAGTTAAACTGCTGGGTCTAAATAAAAGCTGTGCCACTGTTAATGAATGGTGTAAATAGGTGTTTTTTTCAGTTGAAAATTAAAAATAGTCTGAATTGCACTTATTGCCTAATTCTTTAACACAAGGTAGTTTGGTATATAACACGAGGAGGTCTGAAGTGTCTATGAAAGCAATGAGAAAGCTGACAATATGCACAGCTCTCTTTTCATTTACATGCACTTTTGAGACGGTCCCTAACTTCAGCTTGTTGGTGCTTGTCCACCTGTGGAGTCGTGCTAAGGCTTCAGCATTGGTTAATGAGGTAAGAATAACACCTGTGCAACATCAGTTACTTTATCCTGCACTGCACAACAAATATGGAGGAAAGTTACTGAGGATGAACCTCAATCAATGTTTGAATATTGAACTTCCACCTCTTTTTTTCAGTCTATAGCCTATTTATTTACATTTTAGCAAACATGCCTCATGAAGGTAATGCTGCTTTGGCTACGTCCTGTCGCACATGTTCAGACAACAATCACCTTGTTATTGATATGATGTGATCGAGTGCTGTTGTTTCTGATTTCTAAACCCATTCATGGACGTTCCTCTGACAGCACAGAGAGCAGAGGATGTTAAAGAGCTCCAGGGAGGTTGAGACCTTCTGCCAATGAGGAATCAATGCAATTACTGCGTGTGGCTACCCTCATCTAAGATAGCTTGCAGCCATGTTAAAAGCAGCACCAGCACCTGACATGCCTTTCACAGTCCAAACATCCTGTGCCACAGCCGGAGTTAAACTCCCGTCACTCCCTGGAATCACCTTGTCGTCCTCCTTGTCTGACGAGACCTCAAACACACTGATGCATTCAATTTATTCATGGAGGAAAGGAGGGGGAGATAATGGCGGTGCCGAATGTGTATGAGCGGGAGAAGGTGGAGGCTTGTTCTGAATCGGACAGACTCGCGGAGGAAAGAGTGGGAGGACCAGTGGAGGTGCCAGGGTGATGGATGAGAGAGAAGCTCCACTGCTCACCAGAGTTTGGAGAGGAAGAGTTTAAGAAGGAGAGTTTACAGAGACTGGGCCTATAAATAATGACCCCGAGGTGGAAGCTTCTCTGTTTACTGTATGTGAGTTAAAAAAACAACAATGAAAGAACATGTCGGTGTTTGGAATGGAAGACTCAAATTTTTTTTAAGCTTATCGGGAAACAATTAAATGATAATGAAAAAAAACAAAAAAACAAATCCAGCCTCAGCTTTTCAAAAGAAAATGATGACGTCAGAGCGACTTTCATCTTCGCCTAGCTTTCTGTTTCGCTCTATCAGTGAAAGCCAAAAGGCCCATAATCCTCCCATAAGTCTACTAATCAACTAATACCATAGACAGAGCATAATCTCATCAGCTCACTAATCACCTTTCTGCCTCTGGTTTACATCTAGACATTAACACACACAAACATACGCCCCTGTCTATGTGTATTAGGAGCACACAGGGGACATACAGAGCTCCTGTTGCAATATTATTGTTTTTGGGGTGACATTTATCTCCCTCCCGCGCTCACATAACACACACAGAGGCATGAACTTTACTTTTCAAGAACACACATAAATGGTTTTTGTCGCTCATAATCTAATTTAAATTATTGTCCGTTTGTGCCTTTTCATCCCCAGAAAATGGTAGACAGGAAGAACAACTCTGACTCTACAGCAAGTTATTTTACGGTCCAACTGAAGACTGAAACATAGGTTTATTTGCTACATAGACATATAATTTGTGTTGTGAAATTCAAAGTGGCGTGCTTTTAAGTATAGTGTGAAAAATAAGGATTCGAATAAAGAAATATAAAAGGGCAAAAACTCCAAGATAAAAAATGGAAAACTGTACATTTAAAGGTGCATATATGCAAATGTGCAGGGCAGCTGCTGAAGACATGTACGACGCAAGGCTGAGGTCACCATCCTGACAACCTGAGTAAAGAAGCTTTTCCTCAGTTTCTCTTTGTTGGACTCTGTGCTGACAGTGTCTTCTGCATGAGTTAATTTTCCTAGGCGCCTGTCTTGTGTGCATCACACTTGGTTTGCAGGCAAAACATAAAAAAGCCCCATTAGTCAGTGACTGCAAGATACCTTTCCTACTGCTCTGCTTGGAAAAAATGTTGTTTGTTTTAAAAGGGAAAAATAGACACTATGAGCTCAGCTTATGTCTGTAAAATCAGTGATTTGTACTAAAAGTCATTGTTATTTATGGAAAATGAGTCCCTGACATTGAAATAATTTTTACTACAGCTCTGTTATGGTTTGTTTTCATCACTTTGATGGAGTAATGGGTGACTTAGATGATAGTGAAGGTATGGTGTATGTTATGTCCTTAATAATACTGTATATAGTTTGTACAAATAGAAAAAAAATGAGGAATTCAAACTTGATTCTGACGAGATGAATAAATGCATAAAGTGACAGTTCCCCCGTCATTGGGCACAATATCCCTATGTCTCCGCCTGTCTTTCCGTCACCTCTTCCAACACACACTACCACTGACACAGGCAGGTAAAGAAATAGCAACACCGTGCGTATGATAATTAGTAACTTCATGCCTGCACCTTGGTAACTGTAGAGATCTCCCACGCTGTTCTGACGCGTGATGTGCTGCCAGTAGGCGCTGCGTGGCAGGGAGATGGACTTGGTTAGCGTCTCTCTGGAGTGGATCTGAAAAAGACAGAGAAAGCTTACAATGTCTCTCACTTTCTGTCACTCTCAGTCACTCACAGAAGGGGAAATTGCTCTGGGTATGTCAGTAAACAAAGAGCCTGCGTAGTACGGTATATTGCTCGTTGAATGGCATGTTTCCACTCTGAATGGCTGTTTGGCGGGCAAGATGAGGATTCATTTGGGATTATGATGTTGTTGTGCCACTGGATGATGCGTTTTAGATTTTTATTTGCAGTGTGAGACTAAAGGCTTCATTTTAGTCAGACTGGCTTGAAATATATGAAATATGTCAATACTTCACTGAAAAAACTCTGCATTTACTCAGCAGTAAACATGCTATTTCACCCATTTTGCAACTGCGAGTGGTCAGTTTTGTGTAGCTATCCATGTGATTTATAGCGCTGAGGCTAAATGCTGCATTTGGAAATGTTCCCAAATAGTGGGGTCCAAGAGCATGGCCATATGGCCAAGGCTCATCAAACACTAGGCAGGCCTACATAAATAAAGAATGCAGATGATAGTGGGGAGGAGGAGGGGAGGAAGGAAGGGAGGAAGGAAGGAAGGCATGGACGGGTGTTGTGATGGAAGGAGGGAGCGGAGGCCAAGTCCATGGGGTGTCAGAGGGCTTCTGGTCCAAAGCAGCAATACCTAGAGAGAAATGTGTATTCTTGTGTGTGCGAACATCTTGTGTGAAAATCATGATTTATTGCTTTTGCGGTCTCTTGTTTCTAAAAATAATCCTGTGCACAGCTTCAATTGATCAGGCTAAATCAAACAGACAGCAAGAAACCATTGAAATAGAGGAACAGGGCATTTTTGTAACATAAAACACATATTTTTTTAATATATGTCCGTGTGTGCGCGGATGCAGTCTGTGTACAAATGATTATTGCTCGGTGTTTCTTGTAGCAGTAGCAGTAACAGGATATATTACCGACTGTATGACAGTGACGCACACTATGCGTGCATTAAATAAGCACTCCTGACATTTACACTCATTATTAGCTGTTTGTAATGTTGGCAGCATTGGAATAAAACCGTTGAGCTGCTGTTGGTATCAGATAAATGTAAAAATGTACCTGGGAGCTCTTCTCCATCTCCTCCATCATCCTCTCATGCTGCTGGGCAATGGCCAGCGTAGCCGAGTGGACCCGCTGGTAGATCATCTCCCCCTCCCGCGTCTGGAACGTGAACAAACCCTCTCCTGTGTCACACATCCTGCGCCAGGAACACACACACAGAGACAGAGAGAAGTGCACACACTTTGATCGTGCTCACTGTTGGATTGCTGATTTACAAATATGCATGGTTGAATGTGCACTTACAGAGAGGTGCATTGATACAATAAGCCCACTGAAGTCAAACACACATGCGTGAGTAGATACAGTACACAAACAAAGACACGCATTCACACAGACACCTGTCACGTCAATGCCTGAAGGGCTCCACGGCAAATACAGATATCCAGGGATGCTTCGGATATCCAAAGTTGCTTTGTTGAAGTTTTTATGACACTTCCAAAAGTTTTTTTTTCTTCCCAACTGCCAACATTTCAATCACAATCACACACGCATTTAATCTTTACCTTCCGGACTCAAAAGTGAACCAGGTGGAGTCTCGTCCGTATCTGCGCAGGGAGCTGAGAGGCCACATGACGAGTTTGAGGCGGGCGTTGTGGATGTCCCACAGGTAGATGTTTTCATGGGTGATCTGCATGGTGCACTCCCCGTAGATGTCCAGGTTAGGGGTGGGCATTAAGTACACGTTGAAACGTTCTGGAGAGATCCAACAATCATACAAACGTGAAGATATCTGAGATGGGACACTTTTAGTCTGACTGTTAACATCCAGCGTTAAAGGTCTGGCTCATTTAAATGATGGAAAAACATATTCTAACTCACATCTTGATTTTGTTTTTGTCCAAATACACTAATTCCCTTCATTGCCAAGAGTTACATGAGGAAATCCATACCACTCTTACCTGTATGATAAATATGAAGCTACAGCCAGCAGCCAGTGAGCTTATCGTCACACAGAGACTGGAAAACGCTAGCCTGGCTCTGTCCGAAGGTAATAAAATCTCCCTACCAGCACCTCTAAAGCTCATAAATTAACACTTACATCATATCTCACTTGTTTAATTGAGCTTTAGAGTGCTGGCAGGCAGATTTTGTAACCTTGTATCTTTGTACAAAACCAGGCTAATACATAGTAGCAATACACTAGATTGAATTTCACCTGCTGTGCCTACCCCTGACTTACTTTTAATTTGTGTTTCGTATCCGATGTGGCAAAACTAGAATAAAACAAACCTTTAAATAGTACTCCACCTGACTCCGGTAGGTCTAACTAGCCATCCAGTGAGCTGCACTGGGATCAAGGAGCCAAATCTGCTCGTTCACATTAAACTAACTCTCCGAGGCAGACAGAGACAGAGGGAGAGTTCTCCATAATCTAAATTAGTTCTCACTAATTACGCTTAATGATTCAAAATAAGCCATGTGTCTGCAGTGGATAGAAAATGGCAATGTCATAGCGTGGTGTATTTTTAGGGACAGTGAAAATGAACTCTGATCTAATTATCGGCCCCTGCTGTTTGGGGAGGGCTACTAATTGAAACACGGTTGCAGGCCCAGGCCCCTTGTTCCGTTCATTCACACAGGCAGCGGAGAGGCTCTGGCCTCAGCTCATCTGCATAACACACTGCCGCAAACTTTTGTATGAGCACCCGACAGCAGGACTTCTGCCACAAGAGAAGGGAAAGGAATTGTGTTGTTACACTTCAGTTGGTTCATCGCAGCACAGTCAAAAACTTGTGTATTGATATCTTTAATAAATGGGGCCAAGTTATGTTGAAGAATACAATTTCACTTTTACGGTTGCAGTGAAATGAAATGGGCTGAAATGACGGCAGATTCTTTTCAATTACTCGCCCTTTTACAACTTTAAACTGCTCTTCTTTGCCTGTTGCCTTTTCAATTTCCTCCACGAGTTTACAAATTACACAGAGAATGAGCTCCACTGCGATAGCAGCGCCCTGTTGTCTCCTCTCTTTTCCATTTCCATTTCCTGTGAGTGGAATATGTGGGGGAAGCACATTTATTTCACATGGCTTTAGGAGCCATAATCTCATCCATCTCTGTGACAAGCTTCATTATGAGGGAAGCCAGTGATGCACAGCACTTCTCATTAGGCCTGGAACAGAGCCTCGACCACAGCCTGTGACCTGTGCTCTAACTCACACACACACACAGGTTTCCTTCAACACACACAACCAAACGTACTTCTGAAGTTGAACCAACATGTGCTAATGTAACCAAAGACTGTTACAGGGGGACTTTGGATCAGGTATTGACAAAAAAAATGGCCCTTATTAGCCAGGCCTAATTGGACAGTGGCTGTTCTGCTCCCCTAACCCTCTGAGGGTTTTGTTGCATTAATACATATGGGCCCAGACTGCAACCAGTAACTGCTTGGTGGCGGGCAAAGTGAGAGAGATTGACCCTGAATGGCTGTCTGTGTTAGCAGGGACTAATTGGGCACTCACCGTTCTGCTCCCGCTGCACCCCCGCTGCTAACAGGTCTGGCTCTCCCAGGCTGATGTCGTTGAGTCGGCTGCCCAGGCACTCCACGCACAGCAGCTTACACCATTCCTCTGCATCGAGCTCTGCACACAGCCACACAGCAGCACAGCGTTAAGGCATGTCAACCATCAAACACACACACACACACACAAAACCCACCCAAAACACACACACACACTTCCTCCATACATAATAAAACATGCTGCTCAGATTATACTGCCACAACTGCGCTGCCTTTAGTGTGTTTACACATGCACGTACCCATAAATCACCCAAGATTTTAAGAATAAAACGCTGCATGTACAGGACATGAGTACAGCTAAAAGTAACCGGGGGGAGAAAAATCTATGTGATCGATTCAGTGCAGATTAAAAGAGGAGGCGAGTTCAGCAACAGCCAATGACAGATGAATGCTAGGTTTCTCCTCAATCTTTTGCCAATACTCAGCTCCAAGTCTGTATAATAAAAGTAGCTGTGCTAGAACAATATGACCATGGTCGCAGCTGAAACTGGTGGTTCATCTATTCAGATGATCAATAAGTTATTTTCCAAATTGACAGGGTGCTCAAGGTTGTTAATTTGAAAGGGAAAACAGAATGAGATTGTTAGGGGAATAAGTAAGCTTATTTGCTTACATGTCAAAAGTTAGATGAGAAAATTGATCTCTCGTGTCAGTACGTTAAATATAAAGCTAGCACCACCAGTCCAATTAGCTTAGCTTAGCAAAACGACTAGGGTGGAACGGCAAGCATCGGATCTTTCCAACCTGACAACGAAACATCCTAAATCTATGACAGCTTCAACTAATTAACATGCTTATATGCCTTGATTTTTTTTAAATCAATAACCACGAACAAGGTCATTGGAGCTTTTCTGGCTTA